TTATCATTTCTTCAGTTTGAAGTTAAAGTAAACACCAACAGATCTAGATCTAAGTCCTCAGTCTTATTTCATTAAATCTAAATCTAACCACAGTACAAAACAACAGACAAGAGTACAGCAATCACCATGCCTGTATTAATTTACATAATTACTGTCATAATTAAGCAAAGTAGATATAGACCTAGCTTGCCGGCGATTGTTAAAATTTCCACGTTTAATTCCGATGTGCGTTTTTCAGGGTTATGGTCAGGGTCAGGGTTAGGGTTAAGGTTAGGCACCAAAGCAAAACATGCCTGAGGCTATGAAAAATGCACATCAAAATTAAATGTGGGAATCTTAACAATCGCCAGCTTGCCTTACAGTATAGTCGAACCTGCCTTAACGGTTAAGTACGGAAACCTGTATAAAACGGAAGGAAGTGATTATTCACACCGGGTGTGCGCATAAGAATAAATTTTATTCACACCGGAAGTGCGCATAAGAATTAATATTATTCACACTGGGTGTGTGAATAAGAAAACATTCTATTCGCAGAGGGTCGAGCCTACGTTGATTTTAGACCTCGTTTGTCACACCCGGGTATCCCACCTTTTGGGAAAGGCTTTAAATGTTAAAACAACTGTACACTACTTTTGTTTCAGTTTTAGGGTTAAAACTTAAAGCATGCACTCATCTCTCTCTCTCTCTCTCAAGGCGCAATGAAAACAAACCAAAAAAATTTTTTAAAGAGACATTTGAGTCAATATCATTGACACAATACAACTTGAATTCCAATTTGAGTGGGGGTTTTCGTATCGCTTAGATCTATCCCTACCAAAGATAGCACAACAAGATTGTTCACCCGAAAAGTGTTCGCAGAAGTCCACGCACTGGTTCAGATGGCGCTGGAGTCTTTGTTTTGAAACTCTCTTTCATTTCTCCAAAACAAGAATAGGATTAAGCACAGTCTGTTAATTTCACTTTTATTGTTTTTCACACAAGTAGGGTAACGAAGAGGGCGTCAACAAATTTTGAGGACACTTTTCTAATTGGTTCAAAGAGAGTCCTGAGTGAACTATCTTGTTATACATGATCTTTGTCCCTATGCGATGAGGGGAAAAAATGAGGAAATGCTAGGCCCAATTAATTTCCATCCTTCTTTTGAAACGCCCTGTGCCAATAATATTTTGTAGTATTCACACACTCTGTGCAAATATAATTTCATAGTATTCACACACCCTGTGCAAGTAACATAGTATTCACACAGCATTCACACACCCTGTGCGAATAAAATTTCATTGCATTCACACACCCTGTGCGAGTAACATAGTATTCACACAGCATTCACACACCCTGTGCGAATAAAATTTCTTAGTATTCACACACTCTGTGCAAATAAAATTTCATAGTACTCGCACACCCTGTGCGAATACATTTCCATAGTGTATTCACACACCCTGTGCGAATAACTACAACCAAAACGGAAACCTGTCTTAACAGAATCTCCAGGCCCCCCCCCCCCCCCCCCCCCCCCTTATTATTATGGAAGTGGCTATCCTCACCCAGGGTGAGAATAAAAATACGATCGACCTCTCACCCCGGGTGAGACTTGCCAGCGTTGGCTATTCTCACCCGGTGTGAAACAGGACCTGTTTTTCCTCATTTCGGAATACTGTCTATCGATGTGGGTGATCAAATTGATAAAAGCCAAGAAAAAATGATGTTATTGCACAAAAGTAAGATAATTTGATCGTCTACAAAGATGCTATGGCAATTTCACTTTTCGAATCGAGCCGAACTTGGCGGGTTGCCATTTTGTTTTGCCCGGAAGTTCTCGCAAGATCTACTCCTCCCCTCTCTCTGTCTTTTTCTGAATACGGTCTATCGGTGTGGACGTTCAAATTGACCAAAACAAAGTTAAAAATGATGTTAAAACACAAAAGTAAATTAATTTAGTTGTCTACAAAGAAGCTAATGCTATTTAACTTTTCGAATCGAGCTGAACTACGCGGGTCGCCATTTTGTTTTGCAAGGAAGTTCTCGCGCTAGGCGTACTCCTCTCTCTCCACTGCCTACAGACAAAATTACACGCTTTTAGGCTAACAGTAGTAATTGAACGTTTGTTCATGGCACAGAATTCTACAATTCTGTTATCACAGTGTAGAATTCTGTGGTTCAGGGCGAACACTACACTGGTTGGCCAAGGCTATAACACGGTGAACGCACACCAGGTGAGAATAGCCAAAAGACTTGCCTGCGTTATTCTCACCCCAGGTGAGAATAGAGGTGGCTTAATATCATACCTCTTTAATTACCTGTATAAAACAGAAACCTGTCCAACGCAGAAACGGAAAGAAAAATCCGCTCCCTTCCGAGGGTTTCACCTGTCTCAGACGGAAAAAAATGCTTTCCCCCCTCGGCTCTGATTTGAAACAGAACTCACAAGTTTGGTTCCGGCGGCTCTAAACTTATTATAATCGCCATGGCCATGCCGCTGGGCGAGGAAGGGCAGTAGGTGTGCAATTTGGGGGTAGATGTTACCCTAGGCTTTCTGAGCATCTGATACGTCACATAGCCCAGATTCCAGATGTTACCCCATCATGTCAGTCCTGAGCGATGCACAGATGGTCAGGGTGGTGTGGGTGTGAAATCTCACGACTGTCCGTGAGAGTGCTCGAGAAGCGAGCCACTACGGAAACTTTCCTGGGTAGCCAGAAGCCAGAGGTGTGAAATTAGATTGACCGATGCCTGCTGCCCTGATCGTACAGTGAGCAGAGAAAAAAGTTCCCCGAATCATTGTTACATGATGGACAGTGAGGAGGGGTGGCATTAGTTGACTGTGCTTGTTACACCGATGGGAGGGACTAAAAGGCTCTCTACGGGTGGAAGCAAAGGAGATGTTCAAACGTTTCTGTTTTTAATAGATCAAACAGTGGTCCTATGAAAGGCAAGCACTGGTGGTAATATGATGATAGTAAGACTGACGCAGGTCATTAATTATGTCATTATCATTGTGTACATTAGCCTTAGGCTACCGCCTTAGAAAGGCTATCAGAAGGATAGCAACTGAGAGGTGTGAAGTTTTGACTACAGCACGGCTTGCCAATAGGACAAGGCAAGCGATCCTAGATCGAAGTGACTATTGTCCAGCATGACATTACTTCCGACTTCCTGTGACTCATGACTCCGGCTTCCTGTCCTGCCTCACTCGTGACTCGCCTCAGGCTGGGTAGAGACCGGGATCACTTTGGGCAAAATGGCGTTTTGTGCAGGAGCCAAGTTTTTATCTTATGATGAATTTGAGGCCGGCCTGAAAGGGAGTGTATACAGACCCGGTAACCAGGAATAAAGTCACAAAGTATACAGACCCGGTAGGGGAACTCTTGTGATTTCGGAAAGTTTCAGCACCCTCTTGGCTCAGGGTAGAAATAGGTTCTTCTAGACCTATGGCCTAGGTCTAGATTCTAGATCTAGACAGACAGATATAAATCATTGATCTAGTTTCGAGGCTAGCCTAGATCTAGATCTAAAACTAAAGGAAGAGGCTAGCCGTACTTAATAACGGCTAGACTGGCAGTCTAGCCGTACTTATTCTTAATATGATGGCTAGTCTGACCATTTACAAAAAATAGGCCTACTGAATTGTAAATATATACATTTTTAGTGTGCATTGTAAATATATACATTTTTAGTGTGCAGTACCTAAAGCATTTGTATTTTCAGATGAAACCAGGTGCCTTAATGACAGTGTATGTATTTTAAAACCTCCTGTTTTCTAATAATAATAGGGCCTAAGATAAGTACGGCTGGACTGGCAGTCTAGCCGTGTACGGCTAGACAAGAAGTCTAGCCGTACTTAAGTACTTAAGGACGGCTAGACTGTCAGGCTAGCCGTACTTAATATTGATGGCTGTATTGTAAATGAAATTTTTAGTTTGCAATGCCAAAAGTATTTGTATTTCAGACAAAACCAAAAGGTGCCTTACTGACTTGCATGTATTTGAACCTGAATAATTACTAGATCTAGGTCTAATGAGACACCTGTGTACTTAACAGGCTTGAGTCGATTGGGCCAAACCTAGATCTAAGTACGGCTAGACTGCCAGTCTAGCCGTACTTAAGTACGGCTAGACTCTCAGTCTAACCGTACTTAAGTACGGCTAGCCACTTTGAAAACTAAATGGATGTCTTTTCGATGAAAGATCGTTTTTTCCCCTGTTTTGGAGTTGGAGGAATCACAATTTGAAGAAAAGAACAATGTCATAATTTCAATCGAGCAGTCACCCTCTCTCTCTCTCTCTCTGTGTATCGCTCGTATTCTTTTTTTCTTTGTTTGTCTCTGTCTTGCGTTCCCTCCTGCCAACTGGCGGGCATGTCAAGTCATACATTTTGCTAGCACTTCCCCCTGCTCTCTCTCTCTAACTCACTCACACACACACACACTACCAGGTCTGGGCGCTGAAACTTTCCGAAATCACAAAAAAATTCCCCTACCGGGTCTGTATACTTCGTGACTTTGTTCCCGGTTACTGGGTCTGTATGTATACACTTCCGGCCTGAAAAGTTATAGATCTAGCGCTTCTAATAAATGTTTATTTGTCAAGAGGTCACCAGAAGCAATTAAAGATGGCTCGTTAGCGTGTGTCAGGGTCGGATGGGCGGCCTGCACACGAGTGGCTGTGTGTGCATGTCGGGGAAAGGGGGGGGGGCACTATCGGTCCGGGCGTTGAACGTCACATACGTGTCAGTCTTCCCCCGGCAACTGATCATTAAGTAATAAAAAGCTAGAATCTAGTCTTGACGTAGATCTACGTAATGAATTGTGCGCTGGTCTATGGAATCAAAAGTTGTTGTATGCTCGGCTCTACACAGCAACACAACTTTTATAACACAGTGACTGTGACAGTAGCCAACAAGAAGTAAGGCTCCAAGAAGTCAAGTCAAGTCAAAAGTCAACAACGATAAGAAAGCTTTGTTGACGACATAAAATGGCCAATCTCATTACAAAATCTTGTACAAACCTCAATTAAACAAAAACTCTACTTTCTCACTGTCTTTGGGTTCATCGTACTGCTAGTAAAACGTGAATATCGAACAAGAACCTCTCTACACCCTTGTAACATTCGCAGGCACTTCCCAATTCCTGTCACAATAACAAAACAATCATGGCTACTTTCGGAGGTTGCCAGTTTTGATAGACGGCTACGTCACTTTTTTTTACCGGGGAAGAGGCATGGCAAGAAAGTTTACATATAGTGTAAAATGATATTATAGCCTGACACTCATAATTTCTACATATATTTGTTTTACAATTTTGGTTCAATGAATAAAGCATGTACAGTTTATAGAAATGATTCAACCACAACATATATTGCCTCAAGCAAGAATAAAACAGGACATCCAACCTGGCATTCTATAGGGGATGCAACTCCTTCGTCACCTGACCAATCCTTCCAAATCCCGCAGTTCTAAATAATAATGTAAACACATAGCCTAGATCTAGAATAGATTCTAAACACGAGGAATAATAATATTGATATATGCCCAATCTGACAAGGCCTACGATGCAGGCGTCGCCAAGAGGTTGAATTGACACCCCCACCCCCTCCCCCTATTTAAAGGAGAAAACTTTTTTAATTTAGAAATTACTTTCACCATCACTAATTAATTTGTTCACTTACTCACTGAGCGGGGCTTATTTCATTTATTTTGACGCTTCATCCAATATCAATAGGACAGGGTTCAGGTTCACCAAGTAGGCTAGGCTAAAGCACCCTTGGCCTCCAGCTCTTTCATTCTCTGAGCGACTAGCCTTGAGCCCAATCGAAACTGTCTCAGACGGCCACCTACAATTAGAAATTGCGGAGAAGAAAAGTGGCCATATAAAGACAGGTGTATTTTTCACACACTGTCGTTATAAAGTTGTGTTGTTTTTTTAACACGCAAGGGAATAAATGGGGTGGCCGTTTTACAGACAGAGGTGATTTTAGAGCAGGTTCGATTGAATTAAATGAATTCGAAAAATAAGTAGGCCCGGGCCTACTGGAGCAACAAATCTCGTTACTAATCAGGAAGGCAACGTCTTAATTAGTATGCATCTGTGAAAAATGACTGCAACTAATGATCCATATATAACGGGAATGTAAAAAGCGGAGAGGTGGGGGGAGCGACTAACGTGGCCGAAGAGACAGTCCTTGCACTGCATAGAGTAAGTCCATGTTATGTAGTAGTGAGCACACTCTACCTCCTGCGGCCTGCGATAAATCAAAGTGCTGTTTGGAATTAAGCGTACCGGTAGCCTGCATCTTTATTTTTTCTTCTATAGCGCTGGCCTACTCCGGCGATAGGGCGGCAGCCTTGCATGCGGTCAGATCTAGACGGTCAGATTGTATAGGGTCAGATCAAGGAGATTAAATAAAAGTAAGTTCTAAACTCCTTGGGTCAGATACATAATAAATCTGGGTCCATAGCATAATATGTGGCCGGGTATAATTGTCTAGGCTGCCAGCGGTTCGCGATACGGTAGCCTCAAATAGGACCTTTATTACTGTATTTTAACCTCCTTGGGTAGCCTACATTTCCTGCTATAATCGGCCTCACTCATAATTAAATAGTCACGATGTAGACGCTTATTCTGAGAAATAAAATCATTAGCCGTGCCAAATCCTCTTTTATCTTTCTTTTTTTGTGTAAATTGGCTTGTCCTTATGGTTGGTTCGAACGGTTTATATCGTAGCCACTGTACGTCATGTAGGCATACACACGTTGCGTCCGTCTTTAGACAATAACAGTACCAGGAAGCGATATCGCGCTCATAAGGCCGTCATCCCCTTATAAGTGTACGGGGGAAATTTTGATAAGTGCTGTAAGTTAAGTGCTTCCGTTATCTTGAAGAGTCGAATGTTTTCATTTCTATGTGTGCCCGTTAAAATTATTATTACCTTGTGCGTTAACTGGCTCGGTTGTGGCGATTTACTCCCCCG